GTGATAGGGGTCTGGAGAACAACACGCCTGACTTTGTCTGTTGCTTTCGCCTCCGTCTGAACTGGGCATGTGCGGCCAGGCAGGAGGCGTGGCTATCTCAGACTTAGTCTTATTGGGTACAAGGGACTTCAGGAAACCCAATCAAGTGGATTATCCATCATCATGCTGAGAAATGGCGTTCAGGTAAGACCAACGCCCCATTTATTTTACCTAAATAACAATGTATGCCTATTAACAGTAATACTGATTTATGTGATATGCTGTTAACTGACAAGAAATAATCTGTTTTTTTACATTTGTATAAATGGTATTCTTATTCACAGCACACACACACACACACACACACACACACACACAGAGAGAGAGAGAGAGAGAGAGAGAGAGAGAGAGAGAGAGAGAGAGAGGGAGAGAGAGAGAGATTTGTTTTGACTGTGGAACTGTAAAAAAAACTGTTTCTGGCTGAAATAGCCCATTTTAAGTTTTTTTCCTACAACTATAATGTTCAGAATAATATCACTTGAACAGCTTTTATTTTAAGGAACAGGTATGTTTGCACACTTACAGTAGGTCCTTTTCCTTCTGACAGTGATCTACTTCAGATGTGTTCTTTTTTTATTCCCATTTTATAATCCTGTTTTCCTTTACTTTATAAAATGAGATGTCCAAAGAGCTTCCTATAAATTATAATGGTAAACTATGTTCACCAGATTTATATTAGCTAAGATATGATAGAAAACTTGGTTTAAGAATTCAGGAAATCATTGCATGAAGCAACATAAGACAAAGATGCATTCAAATTTTAAACTTTCATGTCACAACAAATTATAGCTTGATTATCTGGTGTTTCATATCTGAACCATGCTTACATTCCCCTCACAATGAATACATTTTCCCCCAAATTATTTATTTTCTTGCAGATTTATGCAAATATACCAAATATATTATTTGTTAACTTAACTAAATTTCTAATAGCTTGGTGTATTATCCTAACAAAACATTTTGGGTACCGTTTCATTTTCTGTGAATGAGTTTTCAATTAGATGGTACAGTGTAAATAGACATCACTAGTACATACATACATAGTTTATGAAAAGCATAAAGTATCCAGCAAATTATAGTAATGCTTCGTATATATCTTGCAGTCCTGTATAATGTAAGATATATTTGATGGTCTTTGAGGAGTGTCTCAAAAATAATTTTGATTTTTTTTTTAAATTTACTAGCCACCACCAGGAAATGTCAAAATTCCTAACGTGCCCAATACACAACCTGCTATAATGAAACCAACTGAGGAACCACCTGCTTACACTCAAATTGCAAAGGTATATTTGGAATTATTTATAACAGAATCTCAGTGGTGAAAGTTAATGTTTTTATGCAGACCATTTTTACTGCTTATTTCCGCATTTATTTTTCCTTAGGAGCATGCCTTGGCCCAAGCTGAACTGCTTAAGCGACAGGAAGAATTAGAGCGAAAAGCAGCTGAACTAGACCGCAGGGAAAGAGAAATGCAGAGTCTCAATCAGCAGGGAGGTATGTTGATGTATCTTAAGACAGTGTGCTGTGGTGATCCCCAGAGCTGACATTGCAATGGAAGAAAATAAATTGGTGCTAGCAGTTTATTGTCTGAAATGTGTTAATCTTTGTTACGGTAGGTGGCAGCACCTAGCCAGTCTTGACTAATCACGAAAAAGCTAGAAAATGTCAATAATAATTCAGTAGAGACCATTAGGAAATTTCCGGACTGCAGGCCAGGCTTAGAAAGCAAAACTACCCTAAATCACTTTCACTCTAGTTGCCAATAAAACAGTGTTTCTCAACCTTGACAATTTTAAGGCATGTGGACTTCAACTCCCAGAATTCCACAGCCAGCATTGCTGGCTGTGGAATTCTAGGAGTTGAAGTCCACATGCCTTAAAATTGTCAAGGTTGAGAAACACTGCAATAAAACAACGTGGACCTGTCTGCATAGTCACCTGCAAGTGAACTGAGTTTGAGGAAGACTTCATCAGTTTTCTCCTAGAAGTGCAAGTAACAGATGACACTTTCAGACACTTGAGGCTAGATTACTCATGAGGAGATTGTTTTCTACCAATTTTAAACTATTGTTCTTCACCTGAATGGTTTCCCTGGGGGTAGAAATAATTGTCAAGAGAGACAAAAGAATTTCCTGACTTAAATAATTGGGGAAAGGCCATTGTTACAAAATGTTAAGCATTTAGCCACTTCAGTTTTAGTTTACTTAAGGAACTTACGTTCCTTCTTTAAATAGAATAGCTGTGAAAATGAGCAGTCAGTGAAGCAACCGTGCAGGCTGGTCCGTGATTAAATCTGTTGGTTGGTTTATTGATTGGTGTTTGTATTCCATTAATGCAAGGACTCCAAATGACTGTTGCAGGAAAGGTTGCCTAGCATTGCAATCTCAATTATATTCAACTCATTTTAATTGGAAGTTAAATGTATTGTAATGATTCTATCTAGGCACTGGAATTTTGTGTGTTTTAAAAAGTGAATTATTTTAATTAGTTTTTTTATTACATTGTTTTTACAATTAAGCGTACGTGGGGGTCTTTTTTCTCACCGAAGGCCAACATCACTTTCTGGGAGAACCTCTAGGAGATGAATACAAAGACATAGCAGGGCCACTGCTAGTAACATTTTTTTCCTCGCACCTACACTCATATGCAACACTAATTGTGACATAGGAGACTATTTTGGTGAGATTCACAGTGTGTGGAGAGAGTTAGCTCTTGTCTTTTGAGTTATGATTCCAACGCAGTAATTAGACTGAAAAAAGCTTCCATTGGCAGTGATGGCTTTTCTAAAAGGAAATTGCTGTGTAGAGTAGAAGCCACAGACTGGAGATTCCACCTACTTTATGTAAAGCCTCTTTTAATGAATGCAGTTCCAAGCGAAAATAAATAATGCCTGACTTCTGTTAATTCAGGGGCACAATATTTGTAGGATCTCAAAGCTTTTTTCAGCCAGTTACCTTTCTCTCTGGGAAATTAAGTGTGTGTTTGTTCGTATGTGCACATTGTTGTTGGAATGCAATCAGCTTAATCAGACAATCCATAAACTTTTCTTCAGAAATTATAAAATGAAAAATGTGAAGTGACCCTTAATGTGTACCAAAGCATTTGCCTTTTGCTCTTGTAGGAAGAAAGAATAATTGGCCTCCACTGCCAGGAAATTTCCCGGTGGGCCCTTGTTTTTACCAGGATTTCTCAGTAGACATCCCCGTGGAGTTCCAAAAAACAGTAAAGATTATGTACTATTTATGGATGTGTAAGTAAAACCTATGGAACATTTTTTAAAGTCTTGAATTATATTTAGGTAATGTTTCAATGACAGAATATTTTCATAAGCAGAAGTTATCAAAAATTAAGCTTGTGCAATTCAGTCAGCACTTTGCTACCTGTCTGGCATAACTTTTTATGAATATTCACATAGGGCCAGAAGACCTTGGAAGGGCCTGGAACTAATTGTACTTCATAGTTTCAAGGAATAGTTACATTGCAAAACCAAATTTGGATCGCCGGGACCAGAGATTTACTCTTCCGAGCTTTCAGACTCATACCGGAAGCCCATCTTCAGGGAACTTCTTTCTACTGGAATAAGTGCTTTGGGCTGTTCTGCGAGTTGTGTTTATGTGGTGCCTTCCTATTGGCTGATTGATGGCTGGCGATTGGCTATCATTTCCTTGTGCTGCCAAGTCCTCATCTCCTAAATATTTGATAAACTGGTAGTAAATCAGCACTCCTATTAATTGACAACAGGCCTGTTTCCCAGGCTTCAGTCATTTCCGTGGCTATCTTTGTACCTGCATGGCCAATGATCTTAGAGCTGCGAAATTAAATGTATGTCCTTGTTCATTGCCTTGAGGCTACCAATGAGTTTGGGTCTCCTCTCTGATTGCTCGCTTGTGTTCTTGCAATCTGGTGGTTAGCTTTCTCCCCGTTTGTCCTCCATAGTCAGAAGATGAAGCTCCAGCATGAGTCCGAAAGCTTGGGAAAGTAAATCTCTGGTCCCGGTGACCAACCCAAAATTGATTTTGCATTATTATCTTGGGACATGTATATTTCCTTTCATTGGTAATAGATATATTGTACAGGGATGCTTCAAAGAGCCTTAGTATTTGCAAAGGCCCATGAAGGATAGTGCCTCAGATATATCAACAGACACTGAAGATGTTACCTAGCCTGGTAACGAAATGTTCGGAAACCAACCCACAAGTTCGGAGAATGAACCTTCACCCTCATTTATATATTCTACTTAATTATTAAACCAGTGATCTGTCCAATTTGTTCCAGCAACAATATTTAAACATTTTCAAAAACTGCTATTAAAAACTGCTTTATAGGGTGGTTTGGTTCAAGCTAGCTTTGGGCAAATTGCTAGTTGCAGATGACAGTAATGGTGAGTGGTGGTGATAATAATTTCCCACCTGGTTTTTGTTTTCTCGATTATCTTGACATTCACTTTTCAAAGCCAGCCAATTGTAAAAATATTTAGTTATCTAAAACTAGTATTCCATTTATTTATAAATACTTGACTGGTGTATCCTGTCCAGTATTTCATCAAGATATAATTGGAGAACAATTGACTGTATATAGTTTTAATAAATTGTTGGGTATTTAGATGCACAAAATATATCTTACTAGGCAATTAGATAACATTTAAAACTGTTCAGTTTAACCAGTAAATAACTGATTTTGCCTAATTACCTGCTGAGAGAATAAAGTAAGGACTAGAAAAAGGAACTTCTTTAATATAGGCCAGGGGTAGGCAACCTCGGCTCTTTTATGACTCGTGGACTTCAACTCCCAGAATTCCTGAGCCAGCATGGCTCAGCTTGGAAACCTCTGCCTTTCCCCTCAGCATGGCTGGCTCAGGAATTCTGGGAGTTGAAGTCCACGAGTCATAAAAGAGCCAAGGTTGCCTACCCTTGATATAGCCTGCCAGTTATTAAACTACAACTCTTAGCAGTTTCACCCATCAGTAAGAGATGATGAAAATACAGTTTACCAATATTGTAAGCATACACTGTAGAATGTTTCTCATCCTTGATGTAGCATACTGCTACCATTGTAAGTAATAACTGATACACAAACTGTTCTGCTATTACAGTAAATTGTAGTAACCAGTGGGAGAAGAGCAGGCTGAGCTGGAAAATGGGGTTAAGTGTGTCATCACTTAGCGTCATTGCGTTGCCACAAGAGACCCAAGTCCAGCCCTCATGGATTCCATTGCCCTTATCAAGTGCCAATTTAGCTTTGACCGTTACTTGACTAGATTCTTGTATAGAGGTAGCCATAATAAACTCTTTGAACTCAATGAATGCTCCTGGTTATTTGTGCCTGATATTTTCAAGATTTTCCTTCTACAAATTTGAAATGTTTCATGCTGCATATGCAATATACTGTATGTGTCAAAGCCTAACCAGAATCCTATACCAACTTTGTACTTAATGTAGAATTCTACCACCAAGTTTTCTAAATTCGTATATGAAAACTTTCGTATTAAGTATATGTACAAATGATCACAATTTCTTTATGTAACTTAACTTTTTTATCTAATAAGAACTTGCAAATGATTTAAGCAGTATATAATTTGATATAACTAATTGTAGGGTATTGTGCTATTCCTGTATGTATTTACTGGCCCAGCTTTCAGATAATTAAATAGTATCTACAAAAAATTGTACATCCTATAATTATTGTAGAAACATCAGCTGCTACAGCAAGTACCGCTGCTTGCTTCTGTAGTTGGGAAATTTGGCAATATAAAGGGTTAATTTTTATTACAGAAGTAAAACCTTTACTGTATCATACTTTCACAAACACATAAATTGTTATAATCCAGGACTGGTATTGAAAGGGTCACTGAAAGGTTATTTCAGTCTAGTTTTTTTTCAAAATTATATAATTGGAATGATTGGGATTTTAATTGCTTAGAAAAAGACTTTTAATTTAATTTAAATAACATTTGCTATATTCCATTTAATTTATTTTGTGGAAAAGTATGATACTATTTGGCAATTATGAATAGATGCAGATTGGTTTGGAGGTTAATCATTTATAATCAAGATAATTACGGATAGTCCTTATCTTGCGACCACAATTGAATCCAAAATGTCCATTGCTGAGCAAGAAAATTGTTAAGTGAGTTTTGCCAAATTTTACGACCTTTCTTGCCACAGTTGTTAAGTGAATCACCGCAATTGTTAAATTAGTAACACAGTTCTTAAGCGAATCTAGCTTCCCCATTGACTTTACTTGTCAGAAGGTGGCAAAAGATGATCGCATGACTCAGGATTCTGCAACCGTCATAAATGTGAGCCAGTTGTCAAGCACCTGAATTTTGATCATGTGACCACAGGGATGCTGCAGTGGTCATAAATGTGAAAAATAGTCATAGGTCACTTTTTTCCGGTGCCGTTGCAACTTCGAACTGTCACTAAGTGAATGGTTGTAAGTCAGGACTATCTGTACTGAAAATCATTCTCATCGTCAGTATTGTTTTTAAAATAAAAGATTTCTATTTGATATTATTTACATATGCAGAGATTCTAAGCAGACACACTTTTTAAAATGCTGTATGCAAGAGCTCTTCCCCCTGAAAAACATAATTGAGTGATATGGAAGAATAAAAAGAGACAACAGTTAAGGGAATTGCCATGAAAAACCTACTACCCTAAGACAGAAAGATGAGTGGGAAAAGCATCCATAATTCTTTAAAATAATTTCTGAGGCTGATAAAAGCTGAGTATGTTACTATAGTACTTTCCTCTGAGGTAGGAAGTAATTGGCCATATTCTTCATCTGGCAACACGTGTATACTGTGGACCATAATGAATATAGAATACTGTAGTAGTGAATCCAGAATTTGATTCTTAGGGATGACTCCTTTCTATGAGTTTCTAATTTAATGAGCATTTCTGATACAGTAGAGATTGTTATCTCTTTCTACAGCTGCATCTGATCCCCTCCAAAAATTTCCTCCATAGAATTGGGGTAGGAACTATATTAGTAGGGAAAATAGAGGGGGGGGGGAATCTCACATCCTTCCAGTGTTGCTAACAATGTTTTGAACAGAACACCACTCAAAGCACCTGACTACTAAGTGACGAAAGTTTACATCCAACCCAGAGTATGCTTGGGGTACTGTATGCTGTTTGAGGTAGCATGTCAGATATTTCTGCTCCAACTTATTCCTTTATGTAAGGGTGAGAAACCCGTGGCCTTCCAGATATATCTGAATTGCAATATATCATAGTTTCATGAAGGGCTACAGATTTCCTTTCCTTTTGGAAAAGCAGGCTTTATCTCAGTATCTCATATCCAAGCTTCTGTGTCAACATTATGGATTTTCAAATTCCTCCTTCTGTCTGGATTTCCTATAAAGCATGTGAGCCTTATCTAAAATCACAGGATCCCCTAATAGTCTCCCATAAAGGATTAAGAGGTGGTATCATAGATATTCTTCTTCCCTTTCCATGCAACCCTTTGTTGATGATTCCTGGCTAATACATACCTTTTGAATAGTTGTTGGAAGAATGCTTAAAAATAAGTTTTTAACATAGAATTCTAAAAAAGATTCATTTAACTGATTACAATGACAAAATTCTGATTGATGAAGGTGGCTTATTCAGTTTGATATATTGCTCTGTTATTAGTTATAGAGATATAGAAGCTCAATTTTAACCTCTTCTCTTCTCTTTTCACAGTCCATGCTGTGACATTATTTCTTAATATTTTTGGATGTCTAGCCTGGTTTTGCCTTCAGCCCAGGGGAGGAGTAGACTTTGGACTGAGTATTCTCTGGTTCTTGCTTTTTACCCCATGTTCATTTGTCTGCTGGTATAGACCACTTTATGGAGCCTTCAGGTAAAATTATTATCTAAATTGTAATTTGTTACAAGGTATATAATATATATATATTTCAGTTAATTAAAAAAAGTAGTCCTCAAATTATGACCACAATTGAGCCCTTTACGACCTTTCTTGCCACAGCTGTTATGTGAATCACTCCAGTTCTTAAATTAGTAACACAATTGTTAAGTGAATCTTGCTTCCCCATTGACTTTCTTTGTCAAAAGGTTGCAAAAGATGATTACATGACCCTGGGACATTGCAGCTATCATAAATATGAGCCAGTTGCCAAGTGTCCAAATTTCGATTACGTGACTTTGGGATGTTGCAGTGGTCATAAGTGTGAAAAAAACAGAAGTCACTTTTTTCAGTGGCATTGTAACTTCAAATAGTCATTAAATGCATAGTTATAAGTCGAGGACTACCTGTACATTGACAAAAATATAGCTATCTAAAATATCATTTAACTCAGGTTTTACAAATTTAGTGTCAATATAAACTGAATAATATTGAAAATTGATTTTTTTGGTTTCTTTTGTACCATTTGGATGTACAGCTATTCCCCAAGTTATGACAATAATATATCCATTATGGTCATACATTATGACACATGTAAAGCAGATCATCACATGACCAACCCAATTTTATGACTCTTATTGTAGTACTTGTTAAGTGAATCCATTGTTTGCTATAGTGTGTTTTTGCCGAAAACTGGAAATAAACCCCAGGTTTTGGCAAAAACATTGTAAATTGTGATCACATGACTGCGGGATACCACAAATGCTGTAAATGTGTACCAACTGTCCAGCATCCGAAATGCCGCCATGGGGGGGGCTCAGAACTTTGGCATTGGGGTGGGGGTCTATCATAATTTCAAACAGTTGCTAAGCAGCGACTTGTAATTTGAGGATTACCTGTATTTGCTTAATCAGCAGTGTACTTGGAAGGGATCCCAAACTCCTCATAACAATGGTAGACTTGAAATAATACATGAAGTTGACACCATGCAGTTACCAGAAGGTGTCAGTTGGGCAGTGGTTGGTCTATCATGCTTCCTCACAAATCATTGTTGAGAACAATTTATCTTTTGAAGTAACTGGACTGGAGTATAATAATATAGTAGAGCATATAGGGAGAAGCTGTTCAAGACATAAAAGAACCTGTGCAGGATAATTGAGAATCTAAGCTGGTGTACCACTGAATTATATTTCCTCTAAAATATTCTTTTCATGCATTCCTCTAAAATCAAGTAATATTCTACTTTTCTTGGAATGCTAGCTGAGCAAGAAAATAGCAAAGGAAAAATAGCTAGTGGACTTTTTAATGAATAAATGACCATATAGTTTGAAATCTAGTTTCCTGTACTTCTTTTACAATATTGGTAAGCTTATTTTGTAGTTGCTTTGTTTGCTTTTTAACTACTGTGTTTTGCATGTGATGTTTAACTTTCTGGTAGTGTTTATTGTATTCAATTTGGTAAGAATGCTTCTGAAAGTTCCTATTTCCAGGGGATTTATACAGTCATAAAACAGAATTTATATACAAAATAGATGTTTGTTCTGTTAACCTGAGAGATATGACAGACTTGCTATTTTGCTTGGCAAGTATTATGAGAATATCTCATTTTTTTTCTTTCCTTCTCTTTCAGGAGCGATAGTTCTTTCAGGTTCTTTGTTTTCTTCTTTGTATACATTTGTCAATTTGCTGTGCATGTCCTTCAAGCTGTAGGATTCCAAGGTTGGGGGAACTGGTAAGTGTCCTGTTGTATTATTCTTCGGTAAATGTATGTAGTGAGAGCAATAGCTTGCCATATTTTTGCAAAGGCATTATAGCCCCATGAGAAACATTTCTTTTTAAAATATTTTAGAAAGTTAAACATCAGGTGTTTGCAATAATAAGGTATTGTCTGAATCAGTAGGCAAGTGGTGTCAGGAATCAGAGCATGCCAAGAAGTAGAGTGGGTGCCAGGCCAGGCCATTTGCTAGTCGCTGCTTACTTGGCAAGGAGGATGTCTGTTGAAAGAATAACACATGCCTGCTATCCTTGTCATATGTGCTGATGGAGGCTTCTCATTTGCCCAGGTATCAGAAACTGGAGAAAACTTCACTGGTGGGTAGGGGGTAAGGAAATACTTTAGTTCAATTTTGCATGGAGCCTAGTTCTCATAGCAGTCCAAAAGAAGCCTTTACCGCAGTTTAAATTGTACCTTCTTGTGCAGACGTGGGCGACCATTGGCCAAATATTGTTGAACCACAGTTTCCAACAATCCTAATTCCAGTATGTTGAATTGAGACTGATAGGAGCTGTTCAACATTTTGAAGGTGACATGTTCGTTTAGCTTACTGATTTCTGCCTATCTCCCAGTCTTAATTCAAATTCATTCTGCCTGGATTGCAGTAATTGTTCTATCCTTTTTTTCTTTATATATCTAATTTGGTCCATATATTATAGTTTTGCTACAGCAAGCTGAATGCTGGAATAATATTACAAGAATAGCTCTCTTAACCTATGCTCATATTTTTAAGTGAAAATGTGGCCTATTGGAGTAATAAAAAAGGAGAATATGTCTGTATAATTTTATTGTGTGTATGGCCAATCTAGGCTTCATTAACATCCTAGAATCTGAAAAAAACCCAGATCCGTAAAGCCTCAACATTAATTAAAAGCTAAACAGACAAATTAATTGTTTTAGAATTTTAAACCACCCGGTTACTTGGTTGAGTTGGACGGCTATAGTAATTGACTGGCTGGCTGGCTGGCTGAATGTATGAATGAAGCAAGCCAAGAGTATAAGAGACATCCTTATCTTGGGGAGACTGGACCTTTGGGCAATTGTCATTATTTCACAAAAGGGACCTGGAGCAAGTTTACTCTGCCAGATCTCATGGGATAAGCAGAAACATTGAAGACAGGTGGTTATATAAGTACTCTGACCGTGTGCAATGCAGGCTTTATTTGAATTGCACCAAGAATCCTACTTGCGTCAGTGCAACTCTTGTACCAGTGGTGATATGCAAGTGTACTATGATGCATCCAAAACTGCATGTGTAATTGCATTCTGGACCAACTGTAGCTTCCAAAACCAAAACTGCAGCTTTCCAAAAACTCTTCAAGGGCTGCTCCATGCAGAGCATCTTTCAATATTCCATTGGGAAGCAACTAAGGCATATGTGATCATGAGCAGAGCTTCCTAATCTAGGAACAAGCGGAAACTGGCACACAGTATGAATTTATGAAAAAGCTCTCTTGTCAAGATATTCCCGGCTTCTTTAGTAGGAGCCATGTTTCCAGGTCCCCCCCCCCAATGAACATCAACTTTCTCTGCGACAGTACTACCTAAATAGTATAACTCTAAAGCAGAATCTTTCCCCTACTGATAAACCTTTTATTTGTCGATATTCATAATTGGAACAATTACCGTACATTATTTGGCATGTAAGAATGTCTGAAGCAGAATTTGTATGGCAAATTTACTACTTCATGGAAAGATGACTTTGAAGATAGCATTTAAAATGTTCTGATTTCAGAAGCAATAAAGCTAACAGATTCTTCATAGTTGCTGTTTTTCTTACTAACCACTGTTTTGGTCAAATTTTAACTATATCACATGCTGTAAATAATTGAGCTTTGTTTCCTATCCATAGGCATATGGTTGATTTTCTTTTTAAATAAAAGTTCAAGAATTCTTCCTTATGGCATAAAATATTACATAATTAATGGTCCACATTTTCAAGCAGTATCTAAGTCAGGAAAGGAAAGCTTAACTGAGTAGTTGTGTAATTTAAATAGCAACTTTCAATATGCTTGTATGAGATGTATTTTATTAAATGTAATTCTGGTTGAATATAACAAAGACAATTTACAAAATTCAGTAAGATGGTAAAAGAATTCAGGACTGCTTATTGTCTTCCCACCCATCCCAAAAAATTAATAATCTGAAGTATTTGTGTTTTCAATTCTTTTAGGAGTGGGTTTTTAAAATATGTTTTAAGAACTTCCTCTGTAATCCATAAGAAGAAATGATATTTTCCTATAAAACATAGTGTTGGAGGGAAAAATAGCCATACTTCTTTAAAGACTGTTATAGATGTGTTTTTAAGAGCTCTCTGTATTTTCTTTAGTGGATGGATTTCATCTCTCACTGGACTTAACCAGAGTGTTCCAGTAGGCATTATGATGATAGCCATAGCAGCACTTTTTACAGCTTCTGTGGTCATCTCACTAATTATGTTTAAAAAGGTAAGTATTTTTTCCATCCAGAAAAAATGGAATTCTTTAAACATGTTTTAATCAACCCAACTGATTATAGTTATAAAAATAAATAACTATAATCAGTTGGGTTGACAAAATTCTTTCTTGATACTATTCACATTTGGTTTACCATTTTTAGAAATAAAATGAAATAAATTTCTTTCATTGTTAAATTTAAAATAACATAATAGCAAATTAGTTTGATTTAGAGGATGTTTGGTTTTAAGATCTCTTGTGAAGAGAACCCATTATGAACATAGGAATTTTTTTCAAAAGATTACGTACAACAACAAAAAATACTTTTGTTCTTTCCTGCAGTATCTCTCAAAAATTATGCATTTTAATATTTAGAAACTAGATGCATCACATTCAATTTTAAAAACATGAACTCTTGCCATAAGAATTTTCTTATCCATCTTCTCTCTGTAGTCTTCCATCATTCTGGTCAGGATTATGGATTTCTTCAGTTCCACATGCTTTTATTTACTGTTTTAAAACATGATAAATGGAAAAATATAAACAAACGTTTAATTGAAGAAATAATTGAAGTAGTTAGCGTACATGTGAGAACAAATAGACGAGGAAAGAAATAACAGAATATGATAACAATATCACATTTCATTCGGAGGATGAAATACCCTTGGCAATACTCAAAAGGGTATTAAATCATAAACTTTCTGAGGAATGTTAAGACCACAAAAATGGACATATGAATAAGGTAAGCAACATATATGTCTGATTCTTATTTCAAGTATATATGCACATAAACAGCTGCTATGGTAATTAGCAGTTTACTCAAAGTCAAGGAGATAACAGCAGACAACAAATGAAAACAAAAACAGAGTCTCTGAAAAGGGCTTACCTAAACAGTGGCTTTTAACAGCAGCACGCAAAAGACTAGTCCAGTGGTGGCGAACCTATGGCACGGGTGCCAGAGGCGGCACTCAGAGCCCTCTATGTGGGCACGCGCGCCGTCACCCCAGTCCTAGGCCTTCAGCTGGGTTTTATAAAACCTTTTCGCTTTAGGCCTCCACCGCCGTGTGCCAAAAAAAAAAAGGTTCAATCAATCAGTCAATTTCAACTTCTCGTGGGGAAAAAAAAGATCTTGCAAAGTTGGAATTGATTGATTGAACTTTTTAGTCCCACCCAGTCTGCTGTTACCACCGCAGCCATGCCCACCCAATGGGCCACGCCCACCCAGCACTCAATGATGAATAAGTGGGTTTTGGGTTGCAGTTTGGGCACTCGGTCTCTAAAAGGTTCGCCATCACTGGACTAGTCAAAATTCGGTCCAAGTTTTTAAGAGCCAAATCAGGGGTTGTCAGCTAGGCCAGACGCCAGAATTTCTCAGAGTCCAAGTGAACCTTGCGCAAGAGCCAGAGATCAAATACTGGTAGTTGATTCCAATGAACAAAAATGGGTCAGGTCTGTCTCTTAAATCAGGCCGCAGCCAGCTGTCTTTAATCAAAAGTTTTACTCACTTGCTTGGCAAGGAGCCTCATAGAATAACTCTGCTCTGCTCTGTATTCTATTCACTGTGCGTGGGGCTGAGTAGTCTTGGATCATTGTAATCTGGCTGTTCTATCTGTGGTGCCTGTGTTTGATCAACCTCAGGTAATTCTTGGCTCTGTGTCTCCTGAGGCTGAATTTCACAGGTTCTGCTGGAGCCTTTTCCTCTGCGTCTGAGTCATCTGAGTTCTGGCCCTTAATAATATATACTATATTACTTTAATGTTCAGAGGCTGGTAAACAGAAATTGTCCTTTGACAATTGTCCTCAAATTGTTCTCAAATAGATTCCGTTTCCATTTTTTCAACTGTTATAATCAGTGTCATTGAAATATTGTGTGGCCTTTTTTATTTGACCACTAGGGGTCATAGTTTCTGCTTACAACTAGACTACCTTCTGTCATAGTGCAATAGGCATGCCAGGAAAAAGAAAAAGAAAAAACTTATTCCTGTGACTTGAAATATCAACAATATTTTAACTAGCTAAAGCACCTCCCTTAAAATAAATTGGATCTAAAAAATTATTGGGGAATACTTTTCTCTTTGTCAAATACTGACTTCAAGCACTAATCTGTTAACTTCAGCCAGCATGTTCAAGGAATTGTTGGTAACTTAGAAGAGATTTTTAAACGCGTGAAAAGTTTTTATTTGATTTTAGTCTATTATAATTAATAGTTGTTGGGCTAAAACAGTTTTCATAATTCATGGAAAAATACTATTGTAATCTCATTTTTATTGCTTATAGTGCAATTCTTTTTTTATTTGTATAAATTTTATTAGTTTTTATAAGGTTAGGATTAAGGTGGGGTCAGGGTTGGGGTTAGAGTTAAGTAGTTCTGCTTTCTCCCTGTTGAGTTCTGCTTTCTCTCTGTTGCATCCTATTGAATATTTTTTTACCATTCCTTGAACTGGATACTCTAAAGTAGTGGCCCCCAAAACCTTTGGGCACCAGGAACTGGTTCCGTGGAGAAAGGTTTTTCTGCAGACTGGAGGGGGTGTGATTTCGCATGCTGCCTGCATCCCATGCTGTGGACTGGTGGAGTCCATGGACCAGGGGCTGGGGACCCTTGCTCTAAAGTTATAGGTTATTAGAAATATTTTTGTGCTCTTAAATTCAGCAGGAGGTCCATTCTTCCTCAAAGATACCACAAGGGTATCATTCTAGTCTGGCTTTCCAACTTAGCTCTATGCATATCAAATACTTATTTCTATCAAAAGATTTCAGTTAAATTTCGCTTCGTATTTGGTGAATTTTTTTCAAGGTTTCTCAGCTCCATGTATTTGTTCAGCAGGCAGAACTTATTAGGCCCATTACCAGTTTCTTACTTATAATATTCATCCTGTTTGATTTATCATGATGATCTAAAAGAGCCATATAGGATATTTCTTTGAACCATAATAACTTCTATCCATGAAAATCAGTGTTCATAAATGTCTAATATACTGCTGTTGACATATATGCTAAGAAATCAATTTTATTTATTTGGCTTTACTTAGGATATAGGGCGACTCAGTGGCTTAAAAGGTCTGTGCTCCGGCAGTTTGAGTCCTACCACTGCGTGACGGACTGAGCTCCTGTCACTTGCCCCAGCTCCTGCCAACCTAGCAGTTCGAAAGCATATAAATGCAAGTAGATAAATAGGTACCACTTTGGTGGGAAAGTAACAACACTTCGTGTTTTGCCATATGCTCTGCGGCTTGATGTCACGCTGACCATATGACCTCGGAAACACCTTTGGACAGTGCTGGCTCAATGGCCTAGAAACAGAGATGACCACCACCCTCTAGCAGAATAAAACACACAGGGATTTCTTTATCTTTACCTTAGTTAGGATGCAATTATATATAATGGTGTTTATAACAAGTCACAGTGGTGTCAAAATGATGAATATATGTTGTAACATTTTTAAGCAAATAATGCTTATGTTTTGTAAAAAGTAAAAACATTGGACAAAGAAGAAAAATCAAGAGTTTGCAATGTCTGCAAATATTGTAGGCCATCTCAAAGTCTGTCCCATGACTGAAAGTGGTGGCTAAATTCAGCATTTTCCTTTTAATTGGGGCCTAAAACGTTTGGTTAAATTATGTATAATGGGTACGTCTTGAATCATGCCTTAAATCTTCTCTTTGGCCTTCTTTATAGGTACATGGTTTATACCGTACAACTGGAGCAAGTTTTGAGAAGGCCCAACAAGAATTTGCAACGGGTGTGATGACCAACAAAACTGTACAAACTGCTGCAGCAAATGCTGCCTCAACAGCAGCAACCAGTGCTGCTCAAAATGCTTTCAAGGGTAATCAAATATAGACAAAAGAAATGAAACACATTACAAAATTCTGGCTGTACTTTATTTTTCAGTCCCTAAAGACTTATGTTTAAAATGCACACAGCATGTATGTCTTTTCAGCTGTGCATGGGCTAAGACAGAAAAATATCATTTCATTCCTTTTAGAATTTTTTAATGAGAAGTTCTTCCTAGCTACTCTATTACCTTACAATAGTTATTTTTTTCTCCATATTTTTGGAGGTACATGATATTTGATGAAAATTAAAACAGTAGCTTTAAAATTCATACTACAAGTTTAGCTTCTAAGATAAGCAAACATTTTTGTTTTTCCATGGTGTGTCGCTCTCCGTGGAACTGTTCCTCCTGACTTGAGAAAAGCACTTTGAATTAATCCTGTTCATAACACTTTGCTTCCCTGTTTTCGTAAGAAACAAAAGCTGACAATTTTGAACATTAACTTTTAGCTGCTGCTTTGTAGCTCCAGCAGCTGATGAAGGACAGACGTAAGCTTAAAATAAGTATGATAGATAATGTAAATTCTTTTTTTAGGAGAATAGATTTTTTTAATACTTGGAGTCTGCATGAAAAAAATTTGACCATGCTGCACTAGTGTTCTGGTCCAGAAATTGTCTATCAGTCTGGTTATAGTATTTGTTAAGATCTGTTTTCATGGTGTATATAGTGTTCTAACTAGATATCTTGGAGCACAGATATCTTCATCCAAGTAATGCAACATGAAGTGAAAAGAATTATGTTTTAACTGAGGCAGAGTTATATTTGTTCTTTTTGATTTCACTATTCATGACTAGGAAGCACATATTTCTAAACAGAATCTGTTTAGCAATATTTAAAACACTAATAATAGCTAGTCCATTCTGACTTGTGTTAAATTGTAGTGGAATTTATTTTGTGCTTCAGAATTTTGACATTTTTAAAGTGTGCATTTGTGTTTAATGCTATTATATCATTAGTCTTGTCAGTCACTCTGTTTAGTATTTGTATAAACATCTGAATATTCAGTAACTTATTTAAATTTTTAACATTACTATAGACCCTAATTAGGCTTTTAAACATTGATAATTATGTACTTGAATTCTTTTAACATACTTCAGCCTTCATATAAGATTTAATCTGAATAAGTGCATTTTATTAAATGCAAATTGAAGATACACTTTATCTCAATTAGTTTAGTGTGGTGCTATATGACAGCTTTTTCTTATTTTAATTCTTCATATTCTAAGACTTAATTACCTCTTCAGGTCACTGTTTCCTTTTTGAGTTTCTAAATTCTAGGTGTTAATATATGATAATTTGAAACATACTATGGATTAACCACTTGAATGGTATTACATTCCTGTCATTAAGAGATTTTTATTTTTCTATTGGGTAACATACTATAGTGGTGAATTTGATTTTCTTGAATTCTGACATAACATTAATTTAAAAAAAATAATAATTCATCATGTTCTAAATTTCCCCACCTGGAGTGTAAACATGTCATCTTTAACATGTTCCGTAGACCCTAGAATCCTAGGTTGTAATGTTTAGAGAGGACCTTAGATGGTATCTGATCCACACTTTCTCAACCTTGGCAATTTTAAGATGTGTGGGCTTCGTGACTGGCTGGGAATTTTGTAGCATCCTAACAAATGGCTATCCTGGCTCTGAATATGCAGGGAAGAGTCCACCACTTCCCTCTGAGATGAAAAAACGGAGCTTTGGAACGCGCTCTGGCTCCAAATAGCTGTCTGGGGCCTGCACTCTCCTTCTGCCCCCCCCCCCCCCCGGAGCTGCAGCCGCAAGCTCCGATCACGAAGAAAGGCTGGAAAGAGGTAATCGGCCTTCCAAACACGCACCAGCTGCAAACGGCCGTTTTTAGCCTTTGCGCGTGTCCGGAGGCTTTTCCAGGCGATGGGGAACTGTGGAGGGCTGAGGGGCAGCACTGAGCCCAGTGCTGTCCAAGAGGAGAAGGAGGGCTGTGTTACAGAGGGGAAGCAAGTCCCCTCAGCCTCAAGCCTTTATGGTTGGAAGTGGGGGGGAGGGGGAGGAACAAAAGCCTCCATTCCTAGTTAAAGGTAAACAGTTCTTCAGCCAACTGAGAGGAAAAAATACAGTGCTGAATACAGCACTGTCTCAGAAGACTGAAGAGAATAGAGAATAAAGAATCCACCAATGGAAACTGTACCTGCCTAAGAGCCAACCTGCTATGTCTGTCTTGGGCAAGATCAAGTCGAGACTGGGACACTCTAGCCCAGGACAGGCGTTGCAACTTTGGCTGACTTGATCTGATTGGGCAGGAACACAGTCTAAACCTATTGGTGGATTCTCCATCTCCAGTGCTGGAGAACTATCATGTCTTTTCTCCTCCAGTGTTAACCTTTATTTATTTATTTATTTATTTATTATTTACATTTGTATCCCGCCCTTCTCCTTGCGGACTCAGGGCGGCTGACAATTGGATAAAATACTAACATGTTGTACCTAATTAAAATTTAATTAAAACAAAATATTTAAATATGTCGAATTAAAAGTAATTAAAACCCCTTTAAAATCCCTTAGGCCAGTCCCGCTAGCTGGAACAACCACGTCTTGAGGGCGCGGCGGAAGGAAGGGAGATCAGGGATCACCCTGATCTCTGGGGGCAGTTCGTTCCAGAGGGTGGGAGCTCCCACGGAGAAGGCCCTCCCCCTTGGGGTCGCCAGC